CCCCAAAACCCCAAAACCCCATTAGCTAACAATTGCCAACTAGAACATGAATCTTATTTTAATGATACAATTTTAAGTTAAATAGGTAAAGTTTTAAGCGTTAAAATATAAAGAAATTTGAAATGATTCCTTCGATTTAATTTTTATCTCAAAGAACAATAGGCTGTTTATCTTATATTTTCTGGATATTATCTTAAGGAGAGAAAACTTGAGGGACAGTAAGCTAGTTTTCTTTTAAATTTACATTATAATTGTTTAGCTGTAACTCTTTCTTAGAGCTCTAAGGAGATAACTTATGCCATGTGGCAATTTACTCTTCAATTTTATCTCCAATAGCATTTTCTATTACTTCTGTTTTGGGATTTCTACTTCCAGATGCCCTCTTTCTCTTTCTCTTCTTTTTCTTATTTTTACCTCTGCCTCTCTCCTCATCAGCAGTCATAAATGCCTCAAGCAAAGGCTCTTTAGCCTCTATTTTCATGTAGGATTCGCTATTATTTTCAATAGCATTCCAAGAAGTATGTTTGTTCCCTCCAATCTACTCGAATCTCCAATAATATCTTATTGTTTAAACAAAAGCAATAACATTGAATATCATTGAAGTCATATAAACGATAAATGTAAGCTGCTTGTACTTGAAAATATCAAGAAATCCAATAATTATAGATATCGCCAGTGTCACTATGTAAAAAGCAATTGAAAAATCATACAAAGTTAGGTAACAAGAATAAGCAACTAAACCCATTATTAGATCTTCTAGCATAGGTAAGTAACCTATGAAAGCTAAGGAAAGTGCAAAAAATAAGGCGTGAAGACAGCAAAGCCAAACCATAATTTATCTCAATTTTAATCCTTCAATATTGTATGCTCATCTTGGCTCTGCAGGATAGAGAAAAACAAAAGTTTCTAAAACCCATTTGGTCAAATCGCCCATTTCAAATTTGTTTGATTACTAAGTTTATTATAATATCAATAATAATAATTACAATAAATGTCTAAATAATTAAAAACCATCGTAGATCAGAAGCAGGTAAAAACCCTTAACAGAGATCTTGAAATTTTAAGTGATTTCAATGTAGATAAAAATCAATAAATAAACTAATAGAAAATAAACATTACAACGAGGAATTCAAATGAATAAACGCTTTAACCTAATATTTTAGGAAATAATTTCAGCTCAAGAAATAGCAATCAAATTAATCCTTTGCATTCTCAGTTACAACAGTGGCATTAAAAAAAGAACACTCTCAGAGCCATAGATAATGCCAAGTTAATAAGCTAGACAAGCACTTCATTTTTCGGCAAAGATTACAGATCCCATTCAGTCGACCCAGTTTAAAAGAAAAATGCAAGACTTGATTTTCTAGATAGCTAAAATCGAGATTCAGGATCTAGACTTAATGTAAACTAAATCAATACTCATAAAGAAAAGAATATAAAAATAAGAGAAATTAAAAAGAAAATCACCAATCTTCCTGAAATATACTAAAAGTTTATGCTACCTTAAGAGGATAATAGTTAAGACCAGTCCCAAATGAAGACTGCTATGACGCTTCATCATAGGAATTAACAAGCAGATCAAATAATTTCCTAATATGCTTCTAAAACAATCTTTAACAACAAGAAGAAATCGATAATGAATAAAACGTTTATGTTTAACAACAATGATCTAGAAAAGGGGAGATAATTGATGTTTAACGAGACTATTACTAGTGATTTCAATAATGGTGAAAAGTTGCATCATTTTAATACATTTGTACTACATAACGAGTCTATAGATGAAAATGATGAGGAAAAATCAGATATGACTACATCTTTAAAGAACATAATGGAAGAATCAATTGATTTTAATTAAAACAATACCACTAAATTGGTTGAGGAGACGCAAAATGAAAGATTTAGACAGATCAAGGAACCTAATTATAAACAATGTGAAAGATTGGTATGTTTCTGCAGGAATTAAGGCTATGGGCCTTGTAAGGATCATCAATTGAAAGATCCCAAGACATATGAGATTGAGAAAGTGATAGACTTAATCCAGGAATAAATGGATAGTTTTAGCAACTTATGTGATAAAAACCTAGATAGAGAATTAGATTACATCAATAAGGGAATTACCACTATTTGCATATCGAGAACTGACGTAAACTTATTCCATTTATATGTTAAATACTAAATAGACTTTCAGAGATAAGATAGTAAGCTCATATCAAGAGAAGCTTTAAGAAATAGATTACTTGAAATCTTAATTGGCAAAAAAATAAATTTGGGAATAAAAATATCGATCGATTAAAGCCAAAAATAAGCTTTTGATGAAAGAAAATGAAGATCTCTAAAACAGATTATTTTCTTCAGAGCAGCTAAATACTCATAAGACAATTAACTTAGAAGTAAGAATTCATATCAATTTAACGTTAAATTAGGCAGAGATAAACAATTTCAAAGAGTAATTGACATTTGACTAAAGTTTCGTAGAAGATCTAATTCAAAAAAATTAGCAACTATAATAAAGTTTTTCTAGACTTTAAGAAAAGTATGAATCATAAAAAGAACGATAAGAGAAAGCCTTCGAAAAACTATCCAAATTGCGTAGTGAATATCAGCTTTTGTCAAACGAAAACCATATATTTAGGAAATATTATTAGAAGAATGTCCTAGAATTTAATAAAAGAGATATTTATGAGAAAGAGCTTGATGATATATACACTGATTTCAATAAGGGAATGAATATGAAGGATTAGTTTATTGTGAAAAATATGGACGAGTTAGAGAGGACTGTTGAATCCTTTACTTACTGTAAAAGCAAAGTCCTTAGGGATTTCATAAACAAGAATCTTTGATATGAAATATAATATTGATTAATACTTAATAGTTTATTTATTTTTAAAAAAAGAGATGTTTGATTTCCAAGCTATATTACTTTGGGGTTT